AGATGCCATGATCAATGCTTGGTCATGTATACTACGAAATTTTGGTCAAAAATTTAGAGGAAGCACAAACACGGACAAACACGCACGGGGTCATAACGTTTGACGAGTCTACCACAAAATTTGTAGTACAAGAAACACAAAACCCGCGTGAAGTTCGACCGGCGGGGAAGTTTGCGGTTCACCTTGATGAGTTATGGTGTGGCTGTGGGAAATTCCAAAAATTTCACATGCCTTGTTCACATGTTCTTGCATCGCATGCACACCATGACTTCAACAACTATATTAATTCAGTGTATACCTTACAACAAGTTTCAAAGGTATACGGAACACAATTTGGGTTATTGCGAAATGAAGAATATTGGCCAACATACACAGGACCTACTTTGTGTGCAAATCCAGAAATGAAAAGAACTTCAAAGGGCCGACCAAAATCAAGTCGTATAAGAACTGAGATGGACATTACAGAACATCAAAGTATGATTAAAAAATGTTCATATTGTCATACCCCTGGTCATAGCAGAAGAACATGTCCTAATGATGCATGTGCATCTACTTCGCATCATTAGATTGTGTTAGTTAAGAAATGTCTCAATGTATGAAACTTAGGAGTTTTTCAATTAATTGAAAGTGATGAAGATCTTATTGAATCATTTGATAAAACGAAGATCTTTTGAGTTTGATGAAATCAAAGGTTATTTAAGGAACTTTTTGCTAACTATTGATGCACATATCAGTCATACAACTCAATATAACAAGAATGACCAACCATCAGTCAAGAAATTTTAATCGATTGTTTCTTGTTTTAATCGATTGATATACTGCAAAACTTTCTTATAAAACTTTCCAAGTTATTTTAGCTGATAAAAAGAAGTTTTAATCGATTAAAACTTTGTACCAAATTTTTCCAAGTTGTTTTAATCGATTGAAATGCGTTTTAATCGATTGAAACGGATCTGATCGGTCATAATTCAATTCTGATCGATCATAACCAACTTCGATCGATCATAAGCTGCATTCTGATCGATCATTCGACCCTTTAAGTGATTTTAATCGATTGAAACGTGTTTTAATCGATTGAAATAAGTTATGATCGCTCATATTTCAAATCTGATCGGTCATAATGGGTTCTACGAGGGTTTTGTATCGATTAAAATACTTGTAAAAACACTTCTTTGATCATTCTAAGTCACTCCACAGAATTGATGCTTGACAGCCCCACAACCTCAAGCACTTTAACCCTGAGTAACCAACCAACCATCAGTCAAGAAATTTTAAATTCTCTTTACATGCTATCATCCCCATATTCACCTTCAATGAATCAATTACAGTCAGCTCCAGGTAAACCAATACAGACACAAGATAATTTCATAAACAGAACAAACTCCCCTTTCAGCAACATCATATAATGCAACCTGGTTCACCTACAGGTTTTCTTGCTCAAGCGATGAACTTCTCGCTCAAGTGAGAATTGACCATAGCTAAACGTCCAACGCAGTTAGCCACATAATGCAATCTGGGTCACCACATATTTCAATCACTTCTCGCTCAACCGAAATTACCGTCGCTTGAGCTAGAATTTACCCGAGATTTTAGATAGCGGTTGTAGAATTGACCGCTATTAAAAGTATATTTTACATAGCGGTTAACGTGGAACCGCTATTATATGTGGATTATTTTAAAATTATGATCGATTATTTCACGTTATAATCGCTCTTAGAAGTAACATATAATAGCGGTTCCACGTTAACCGCTATCTAAAAAATATTTTTAATAGCGGTTAGTTCTAGAACCGCTATCTAAACCCAAGTTGCATTATTTGGCTAAACGTCCAACGCAGTTAGCCACATAACGCAACTTGGGTCACCACATATTTAATCACTTATCGCTCAAGCGAAATATCTGTCGCTTGAGCGATATTTGACCAGAGATAACTGCGTTCTTACGGATTTCCTCGCTCAAGCGAAGGGTTTCTTCGCTTGAGCGAGAGTTCATTGCGCGAAATAATATTATTTTAATACGTTAACAGTAAACAGTTGCGCAAAATAATATTATTTTATTACGTGAACAGTAAACAGTGCTAGTTGTGTAAATAAAGTTGCAGAGGTGCTATTTTGAAAAATATTTTTGAAAACAGTATTATTTATGAAAAAAAACCTTCATCTATATTAGAAAAAGCCCTAAACAATAGGTCAGCGAACCACAGTGCTCAAGAGAGAGAGTTATATTCTTCCATCACTCTTCCTTTCATCTATTTTAACTGCCTTTTTCTTTCTATACAACAAAAATTCATAATTGCAAACTGGGTAAAAAGTTATTATGTACGTAACAATAGTTGTTAATGACAACCAATTCAAAGACTTATTTTCCAGCTTCCTTACAATCCCTTTCTTCTTGTGATGTTGAAGATGTGACACATGTTGGCCATTTTAACCATCTCACTTCCTTTCCTGCCCTCAATTTATTGTTTCTGAACTCTTCTGCTGTCTACATGTAGTTGCCTTGTGCATGAGGGTGAGGGGCTCTCCGATCCTCGCTATGATTATTTTATGCTACATTTCCATTATGGAATGATTACGTAGTGGAAAGGTAATCAATGAAAACTTACAACATCACCAACCGCAATTTTATAGCATGCCACTGGACTCTTTGGTCATCATGGTTTGAGGGGTTTCCAGAGAGGTCCATATAGTTTTCTTTAACAGTTTAAAGAACCACCAAACCATTTTCGAAACTTTTTTTAAAGAAAAAATTATCATTTTTTTTTTCAAGAAAACTGTTAAAATAACAAGTTCAGACAAGTTTTGAAACTTCCAAATGAGTGATAATCATTTACTTGTTGGGTGTCTGTCGTCAATGGCTAGATATGGACAAAAAAAATGCATAAACAAATATCAGCATCCATCAGCCAAGACTAAAAATGCATGTAACAAGGAAAAATCTGAAGCCATTTGGGATTTAACAAACTGATAAATTCAGAAATACTTTTCCTTTTTGTTCTTCATCGATCCTTAAGAAATTTCCTTGAAATTTCAACCAGCTTTTCCAGAAGAAAGTATCCGAACAAGTTGTTTTAGTACGCTGGAATACCACTTGTAGTTTTTAGAAAATAAAACGTGCTTAACACAACTGAAAGCTTAACCGACTGAAAGTTTAACCCTGCGTTTGGATTGTCCTCCTCAATTTACTTATTTTTATTTTTCACACCAATTCAATTGAGTACACGTTTAACACAATTACGCATAGTAGGTTATAATTTGATGTTGATTCATAGTTTCACCGGGTGGGGCCAAACACTACCTAAATCGAGAATTCGTGATTGTGCCAAACTCGAGTTGCATCGAGCCCTTACATACAGTTTTGCGTGTTTTGTATTTGCAACAACGACGATAGACAGAATCTTGTTTTCATTCTCCAAAATCACTTTTGGGGAGAAGTACGGGCAATTTGAATTTTTGCATTGGACCTAAAATCTTATAATTAAATATGAACAGTTTTTATGTGAAGTTAAAATTGGACGTGAATTTTGCTTGATTTGATGAGAAACAAACATGTTATAAGATGGGTGGATTAATCCAAACACAAATTTATAAAAAAGGTACCATGAAAGTTTATTTTCTTTTCTAGCATTTAACATATTCTCAAAATATCCCAAAACAAAAATTCCGACCACTACTTGAACAACATATCAACCTGAACAGATTTATCTTTTAAAAATCAATTTGTGATCAATTTTACAATATATATTTATATTTATATTTATATTTATATACATTATATAAAGAAATTATTAATATCCAGGTCACGATAGACAAATACCACGGCATAATATGATTTTTTTTTCCTTCATGAAACCATATTAAGATTTAAAACTAGTTTTTTACATCACATATAAACGAATATATTACATGAAAACACATTACTATCTAATCAAATATAAGTTATAAAAAATAGTAAACGATAATAACATAACCATGGAAATATACCAAACAGCTATGCATATAAAAAAGCACATTCAAAGTAATTTTTTTATCAGTAGCCAAGATATAAACTTTTATACTGACAATGTATGCTTGTTCAGTTTAAATAAATATTTAAATTTTAGAAACATGTTAGTAAATTTTTTTAATATTTAAATCAAAACTATGCCACTTTTAAAGATTGAATATTTTACATAAAAAGCATAGTAATAAACAATTTACAATAAATATTCTGATAGAAAATCCACTTAAAATAATTCATTAAATATTAAATTTGTATCTTTATTAGAATTATTGATTTCCATACAATAATTATATTTTTACTCATTTTTCATCAAATTTTGAAAAATTATTTAATTTTCCCACCTTTTATCATTCATAAGAAAATATACCATGTAGACACAAGCACGAGTATGCAGATAAAATTCTATCAATATTAATATAACATACGTGGAGTTCTATCAAATTTTATATTATACGATAAAAATATATTATAAGAGGACCGGGCATTTTTTTCTTCTGAAATTTAATTGATATCTAATTAGAACTAGCATATTTGAACATTTTAATAGAAATTGTACATTAATATAATTTTAATGTAAAATGAGTAATACTTTAGTATATTTTTCATTCTTATTTTCTAATAAAATCTAACAATAGAGTAAGTGAATCTACTATTGTTTCAAAAACATCTAGTAATATTTAACATGTTTTAACTTGTGACACGTGTAAGATAATTTGATTTCTGAAATGGACAATGTTGTCTTTTCTGAATCTTAGAGTGAAATAAAAAATTTCACCTTTGACAAGGAATTGTTTTTATTACAAAGGTGATTGTTGTCATTAGGAGATAGGAAGGCAGTGAAAAAGACGAAGCTGACCCATCTATGGATGCGTTTCATTGGTAGTTGGGAGAACATTTTCATCTTCATTTTCACCCACGGTCAAAACAAAATAAAACAACAGTTAGTGGGGTTGTGTTGTGATGCGTGTGTGAACTCTGCGTTTTGACCATCGCTGAAAATGGAACAACACAGCAGAGTGGAGAGAGAAAGAAAGAGAGAGAATAGCTGATTCACTGATTCTCCCTCTGTGCCTTTGTGTAGCGTGTGCCAGCTGCTCCCGTTTCACTTCTGGGGCAGAGGGTTCTGTGTCTGCGAAACACAGAGCGAGAAAACACTCACTCAACTTCTCTTTGCTTCTCTCTGATCCCTTTGAACCTCCATTGCCATTCATCTTCTCTTGCACCTCTTTTGTTTTTTTCTTCCTCTCAGAATGGCACACATGCAACTTCTCATAGATCTCTTCTTCTGGTATCTCTCTACCCTGTCAATTACCTTTATTGGATCCACTACTCTATTGGGTTACTGCAGAATAGCTTTGATTCACGGGGTGGGATGTTCTTTTTATTTTATTTTTTTTTCTCTATTTTAAAATAAAAACCCATTTGATGAAATTAGTTAACTGGGTCTCTCTAATTTTCTCTGGATTTTTTTAATTATTTCAGATTTTATGGATTTTTAATATATTTTTTAATTTGGACAACATTTCGTGTCTTGAACAGAGTTGATGGAGTGGAGCAGTAAGGGTGATCAAAATTGGTATCATCAAAATTTGTGCCTTGATTATACCATTCCTGTGAATTGAAGGCTGTGTGTTGAGGTTTTCTTCGAGTTATAGGGTGTGTTGTATGGACATTGTGTACAGAGAGTAAAACTATAATTTCACAAACAATTGGACTTAATATGGGTGGTATTTGCTCAAGGTCATGGAAAGGCACGGTCGATGGTGTAGCTGTAGATAATGCACTTAGTGGAAGCTCTAGGCATGCTAATGGTCATGCTAATAATGAACCTGGAATAGCCTATCAGTCTATTGGACTTCCCAGAAGTATAGATAGCAATTCAAATGTGCTTCCTGATGATGATGACTTGGACAAACATCAACGAGAGTCATTTTCGTTTACCGGATTGGAAAATGTTTCGTATGGGTCGAGTGCAGATGATATCAATGATGGGATTCCTCGCCTTTCCAGGGCTCTATCGCATAAATCTAAGTCCAAGCAAGCAGCTGTTAAGTTGAGTTACCTTACTCCTGTTTGCTCATTTTATTTCTTGTGGGTTGGATTGGCTTATGTTGTATTTGGAAGTGCTTATAATCATTATGCTGCGAAGATGCCCCTGGCTGAATGTTTCTTTGTATAAATATTAAGGAAAACCAAGAAGTTTTGTAATAGAAGAAGTAATTTTATTAGAGAGAAAAGAAGTATAAATATCTAGAAATCAACAAACTGTCTGCAGATTAGAAATGGAAACTCTCTGGAAAAAGCCATAGGTAGAGCAAACCCTTAGAAGTGTATGTAATTCACTCTGACAAAGACAAAACGTCTCCCAATAGCTTTAGCTATTCTGTGGGAACCCAGGCATTGTTTTTTGCATTTCTAACACACCAATTCAAATTTATTTAGATTTTAGGCATCAAGCATCAAACTTGTGAGCTCTTGGCTATAGAGGCTTTGATATAGTATCGAGATCATTTCTCCCAATAGCTTAAGCTATTAGGTCAAAGCTCACACTAATGAAATTCACTAGAGAGTTGCCAAATTTGCCTACAGTGACAACATATTGATTTTTGAGCTGCCCTCATCTCCAATTTCTACCACACAAAGCAGTTTCCGTACTTGCAATTCCTCTAAAACCAATGGCCTTATAGTTTTTAATCCAACTTATTGCCTTCATGGGAAAAATTTTCTGTAGTGGCCAAGTCATTTGTACCATTGTTATTAAAATATCTATGATCATATGATCTGCCAGTTGAACACTCCTTGGCAGGCTAAATTGTTGTTGGGATTGCCAAGGAGCAAGATCAGGCAGGATTGCGATCTTCCATGTGCAATTGTAGGATTGTTGGTCCAGAGCAAGTGAAAAAGACCGTTGTGTTTGTATGACCAGAGCAATAGGATTCAAACATCAACCACATAAAATAAAGCGATAATCACACAGGTAAGTAAGAAATTTCTGTATTGAAAATGTAGTCGAGACAGTAATGAAACTCAGAAAAAGGATAATCCCTTTCTCTGCCCAGAGCTAAGCTCCTAATAAAGCAACCATGAGGTTCTCTATCCAAATCAACCCAAAATCTCTCTCCCTTCTATCCCCTCCCAAAACATTATTTACATAACAGAAAATATTCTTCCTCTCTCCTCTAACAACCTCAGAAACCTTTCATGCCACGTCAGCATTCTTTTTCTTCTTACGTTCATACACAATCCATTTCTTTGGGCCTCCTTTGTTCTCATGGGCCAGTGGTTCATTTTCCTGTTTACCTTGGGCCTTATCAATATTTCCCCCTTCAATTTCAGTCTTGTCCTCAAGACTGAGTTCTGGGAATTGACTCTTCAAAGTCAGATCATCTTCCCATGAAGCCTCCTCTACTGATTTCCCCTTCCACTTCACCAACCACTGATTTGTCCTCTCCCCTCCTTTAATCAAGCTACGAGATGCCAACACTAATTGAGGTTCCATTACTTCCACTCTATCATCCTCAAGCCTTGTAGGAATAGAAGTTTCGGTTTTATAATTCCCTATTGCCTTCTTCAGCAAAGATACTGAAACACAGGGTGAATTCTTGCTTCTGGAGGTAATTTCAACTTATAAGCTACTGCCCCAATCTTCTCTACCACTTCGAAAGGCCCATATAACTTCGGACTAATTCTTGCTGCCATTGAATGTTGTCTGTGATGTTTGAGCTTCAAAAATACCATTTCACCTACTTCAAAGCTCCTATCTTGTCGATGTTTATCTGCCTGCCCCTTCATGCGTTCTTGAGCTCTAATCAAATGCTTCTTGAGTTGTCTAAGGGCTTCATCATGATCATTTATTTCTCTCTGCACAGACTCAACCCTGATTTCTCCTTGAACCCCTCTTATCAATGACGGTGGTGGTCTGCCATATACCGCCTCAAATGGGGTGGTTCCAATTGACATATGGTAAGTAGTATTAAACCAGTACTCAGCCCAAGGAAGCCACAAAGCCCATCCTTTAGGTTGATCAGTAATGAAACATCTTTGATATGTCTCCAAACAGCGATTTATCACTTCGGATTGTCCATCTGTTTGTGGATGATATGCTGTACTCATAAGAAGCCTTGTCCCCTGCATTTTAAAAAATTCTTTCCAAAAAAGACTCATGAACAAAGGATCCCTGTCACTAAGCACTGAATTAGGCATCCCATGAAGTCTCACAACTTCTTTAACAAACACTTTTGCTATGGTTCTTGCCGTATAAGGATGTTTTAAGGCAATGAAATGGCTATATTTTGTCAAACGATCCACTACAACTAATATGGCCTCAAAACCTTTCGATCTTGGTAACCCTGTGATAAAATCAAGAGAAATATCTTCCCACACCTTCTCTGGTATTGACAGTGGTTGTAACAAACCTCCCGAGGCAGTAGTGGCATATTTTTGACGTTGACATGTGTCACAAGATTGGACATACTTCATTATCTTATTTTTCATACCCGGCCAATATATATTTGCTACAATTCTCCTGTACGTTCTCAGAAATCCAGAGTGTCCTCCTTGTGGTGTAGAGTGAAATTCTTCAATTAATCTATCCATCCACTCAGAATTTAGAGACACCACTATTCTGTCTTTATAAAACAGAATTCCCCGTTGATAAGTGAAACCCGGACGGTTCTTACTCCCCTGCTCCAAGTCTTCAATGATTTTCTTCATTTTCTCATCTCTGTGAACCTCATCAATTACTGTTTGGCTATCTATCCAAATCGGTATAGACATCATATTTTTCAATTCCCCCTCTTCAAATTTTCTGGACAGTGCGTCAACTCCCTTGTTTTCCAATCCCGGTTTATATACAATTTCAAAATTATAGCCAAGTAATTTAGCCACCCAGTTTTGTTGACTTCCGTTAGTGATTCGCTGCTGCAGCAACTGTTTAAGACTCCTTTGATCTGAATAAACCTTGAATTTACGCCCCAATAAATACGACCTCCAGTGCTGAATTGATAGAGCTACAGCCATAAGCTCTTTTTCATACGCAGATTTTGTCAAGTTTCTACTTCCCAGAGCCTTGCTAAAATAAGCCACAGGCCTACGTTCTTGCATTAATATGGCCCCAATACCCAGCCCAGATGCATCACATTCAAGCTCAAACTCCTTCTCAAAATTTGGTAGAGCTAAAACTGGAGTTGTAGTGATCATCTTCTTTAATTCCTCGAATGCTTGCTGCGCTTTCTCATTCCACTTAAAACCTTCTTTCTTGGTCAATTCATTTAGGGGTTTAGCTATTTTTCCATAAATCCGAATGAACTTACGATAGTAACCTGTAAGTCCCAGGAATCCCCTTACCCCTTTTACATTTTTTGGGATTGGCCACTCCATTACTCTTTTGACCTTGGCTGGATCAACTTCCACTCCTTTCCATGAAATCACATGTCCCAGATATTCAACACTTTCCTGGGCAAAATTACATTTCTCCTTGTTGGCATATAACTTTTGATGCCTCATAACTTCCAAAACCATTTTTAATTGAACCAAGTGCTCTTTCCATTCAGAGTTATACACCAATATATCATCAAAAAATACTAAAACTCCCCTTCGAAGTTGATCATGAAATACCTCATTCATCAATCCTTGAAATGTTGCTGGAGCGTTCATGAGCCCGAAAGTCATTACGAGGTACTCGTAATGTCTCTCGTGAGTTCTAAAAGCTGTCTTCTCAATGTCTTCCTCCCTCATCCTGACTTGATGGTACCCTGATTTAAGATCCAACTTTGAAAAGTATTTAGAACCATGTAATTCATCTAACAATTCTTCAATTACAGGGATAGGAAATTTATCTGGAATTGTGGCCTTGTTAAGAGCACGGTAGTCTACACACATTCTCCACTTGTTATTTTTCTTCTTGACAAGGACTACAGGACTTGAATCGGCACTGTGGCTGTGACGTATATGCCCATTCTCCATCAACTCCTTAACTTGTTTTTCTATTTCATTTTTATGGTGATAAGGATAACAATATGGCCTCACATTAATTGGCTCTTGATTTGGCTTCAGTAAGATTTTATGCTCCCTCGAACGAACTGGTGGTAATCCTTTTTGTTCAGCAAAGACGTCAATAAATTTGTCAAGTAATTCCTCCAATTCCCCTTGTTGTTGATTCGTGATTTTTCTTTTTGGAATATCCTGTGAGTCTCCCACTAACTCCTTGATTTGGGCTGCTAGAGACTTTTCACTCTTCACCCCTTTTAACAGTTTCGTCCCTTGACTAGTGGTAATCCTCATCGTTTGCTTTCCCCAATCAATCAACATTTCCCCTAAAGATGCCAGCCAACACATTCCCAGAATCATATCAATGTCCTTTAAGTCAGAGAGTACAGCGTCAATATTGAATGTCTCACCATTAACATTAACTTCAATTTCGCGACAGACTCCTTGTGTTTCAGCTTTATGACCGTCACCCATCAAAATTCGCATCTTCTTTGTAGGATCCCAATTCCATTCCATAGCTTCGACCAAACGTTTGGAAATGAAATTATGTGTGGCTCCACTGTTGACGAGCAGAGAAAGGGAGATGCCCCGAACTTTGCCTTCCAATTTCAAAGTTTGGGGAGGATTATGCTTTTCTATATTTAAATCAAATAAGCCAATAACACTACATTCTCCTTCATCATCGTTATCAGCATTCTCATCACTTATATGTTCTTCCTCATCGCACTCCACCTGTAATTCATTGTCCAACATAATCACCCTTAGTTGTTTTACTGGGCATTGATGCAAGGGCCCATACGTTCCTCCACACTTAAAACAAAGACCCTTTTTCCTTCGGTCCACTAATTCTTGATAAGCCAGATGTTTTGCTCCTCTATCCCGAGACCCACCTCTATTTTCTCCTGCTTCCCCCTTCGTATTTTGGTCAGGCCCATTCACTCTACTGCTTGCTCCATACGTTTTCGGAGCTACCCGACCCAAAATTGTGGAATAATTTCTGGATCCAAATTGACCCGTTCCTATAACATGTGTCTCACTCCTCTTCTGCCATCCTCTGTTTTGCATATGAATTTCAGAGTCCACCGCTCTAACTGCATTCATCAATCTTCCCCTTGTCAACGGGTTCACCACGTGTAAGCTTCTCAGTCGCGCCCTTGTTTCCTCACGTAAACCATGAGTGAAATAAGAAAAGTATTGTTCATCCTGCAATCGAGGTACTTGGGCCACCAATCGCTCAAACGTTGCGATGTATTCTTCAATGCTCCCATTCTGTTTCAATGATGTCAATTGATCGAACACACTTCCTTCGCCCATTCCTCCATATCTTTCCAGCAACTCCCTCTTTATATCCTCCCACGTTAGCTCATCATAATCGTTCAACAAGACGTTGAAAAAGTGTATCGTTCCTCCCTCCATGCACAAATTCGCCAAATTGACACGCACCGCTTCACTAGTCTGTTGAACTTGGAAATAGATCTTTGCCCTGGAGATCCATCCTGCAAGATCCTCGCCATTAAATGAGGGAAGCTCAATCTTCTTCACAGATTGACGAAATTCTTCTAAGGCTTCCCCTTCGAGCATGTTCATACCCGAGGTCACTCCAAAATGTTTTTTCCTATTTGATACACTCTTCTTCTTCACTGAACCTTCATCTTCCCCCTCTGGATCTTTCCCAGAATTTCGAGTCAAAAGCTCGACGAGTATCGAGTGGTTCTCTTGAACTTCGCGTTTTATCGCTTCTTGAAAATTCTCCATCGTTATCCTCATTCGAGCAATCTCGTTTTCCACAGACCTAACACATGCTTCCATGTTTTCCTCGTCTGCTGATCTTTCTGGCTTAGATTGATTTCCCTTCTTCGGTGGCATTCAAAATTCCGATGAAGTATCCGGCAGGTCGAACCAATTAATAGGATTCAAACATCAACCACATAAAATAAAGCAATAATCACACAGGTAAGTAAGAAATTTCTGTATTGAAAATGTAGTTGAGACAGTAATGAAACTCAGATAAAGGATAATCCCTTTCTCTGCCCAGAGCTAAGCTCCTAATAAAGCAACCATGAGGTTCTCTATCCAAATCAACCCAAAATCTCTCTCCCCTCTATCCCCTCCCAAAACATTATTTACATAACAGAAAATATTTTTCCTCTCTCCTCTAACAACCTCAGAAACCTTTCATGCGACGTCAGCATTCTTTTTCTTCTTACGTTCATACACAATCCATTTCTTTGGGCCTCCTTTGTTCTCATGGGCCAGTGGTTCATTTTCCTGTTTACCTTGGGCCTTATCAGACCAGGTTTCAAAATCCCTAAAATCTTTTCTCATTTGCAAAATCCTTCCCTACCCATTTGCAACCTTCTTTGTTCTGTACCCATTTGCAAATCGCTTCATCCTAATGCCATTGAACCTCTCCTTTATTCACAATGGTCACCATGACCTATTGCCATTGCTGCCCTGGGCTATGGCCTTCTGTGCCTTTTATTGCGTGACTGATACTACATCTTTGGTTGTATCATCGGTCAAACTTAAGGTCACTCTTAGTTTCTACCTCTTCTCTCAATATCACACTTCTCAAAGTCTCACACTAAATCTTTTCGATTTAAATGTTCTCTCATCTCTTGTGACTTATTATGATTATGATTTTCCACCGAAAGTTTGTTTTAATACTGTCATTTATTATATAAGTACTTGCATTTTAAGTAGGAACATTAGATCTTATGATTCAAGTTACAGGTTTTCACCACTTCTTGATCGTAGGTAGAATCTCAAGTATAACATATGAGCTGTTCAACATTGAGAGGACTACTCTTGAGAATAATGATCCCCTATTTGAGACAGGGGATGCCAAGGATTCCATCATTGTATCGTTTTGAATTGGGATAACCAATCAAACGTCTTATTATGATATCAACCAAAATTTCTCTAAATTTATTAAAGATTGGTATTGTTCATGAATTCATATTAGTTGATATTCCTTAGCAAATTGGAGTTGTTATTATTCCAAATGTATGTTCCATGCTCATGCTGCATATGTGGTTCATTGATCATCATTTTGTGTTCTGAGAAATGTTACACCTATCCAACTTGTATCATCTTTCCACTTTATTTCAATTCTTATATTGACTACTCAATCTCATATCCTTGGTCATGTGGCCTTTGTTCATTTTCACCACTAGCACCACAACACACTTGATTCTTGTGATGTCAAATCTGTCTTCCAAGATTATGTTTCTAACAAGATACAAATGCTATCACTCCTTGAATGGTTGTTTCTTTGTTTCCTTGTATTTAAACTGTAATGAAATGAGTCCTTCTTTATTTGTTCTCAACAGCAGATGGAGAATAGCAATTTAGAAACTGAGATCATTTTCTTTGCCAACACCCTCCCTCTTCCCTTGGTACTCAAACTTATCACCTTCACTTGAACTAGCTGATTGACTTACATGTTAGGTTGTGATGCGGAAATAGTGTGCAGTGAATTATTGGTGAAAGGAGTTCACTAAGTGCTATCTTGAATGTGTGTGAAAAATGAATTATCACAACCTAGCTCCCCAAGTGTACTAGTTATCTGGTAATAAAGTGATAAGTAGAGTTATCCTTCCACTTAGACTAGGTCAAGCACCAAGTACTAATTTTGGCATTAGTAAAGTGAATCCTGGTTAAGTTGTCCCACTTATTGCTTAGTTGTGAGGGTTAGCTTGGACTTAAGTTGGACATTGAATTCCACCAAATCAACTCAAAATGACTCAAAAACAGAAGAACTGACAAAAACAAGTAACTCATGTCTTACCTCCTAGGCTTTCTCTCAGACTCAACCTCACAATGGTTCAACCTCATATACGTATTTACGTAAAGCAATATCCATAAAAAATTCTAATATTTATAAAACTATGATAAATTTTTATTATTAATGTGAGATTTATTATTATTATTATTTTGTATTTATTTCTGTAAATTGGTTTTAGTGAGTATGAGTGGAAGGTTGTAAGAGAATACTCTTCCCTTTTGAATTTTCTATTGAGCGGGATCTGTTAGGAGTTGTAATTGACTCCTTCTCTACTGAGTCCTCATAGTATATACAGGCCTGTAAATTAGAGATTCGATGACTTTTGTATTCATTCAACATTAATACAAATTCTCTTTTATCTTTCTCTGGAAATCTGATAAAGATTCATCACTAGCTAAGGCCAATATGACAAAATTAGTGTATCAAGGGGAAGGTAAAACCAAATTACATTTGTACCTACAGTAAGTACTGAAGATCCTAATGGACATGCTGCTCACTTCTGCAATATTTTGTATTCTTGTGTTTTTGACTCATTTCTGAAAAATTTAAACATTCCTTTGAAGATGATACTTATGCAGGTTCAGTTATTTATAGAAGATTAAGGTTAGGTTGTTGTATGTTTTTGCGTTGAAGTTGGGAACCACGGAGGTGTAAGAAATGGAATGTAGTTGTTTTATCAAGAGTAGATAACGTCAGAATGAAGTATGGACTTACACTTAAACTGTTGTTCCAATAAATTAGCCATTAGCATTGCACATCATCATGTTCAACAAAATAGGACAAAATATGTTGAGCTAGGCTGTTACCTTGTCAGGGAGAAATGTTTTAGTGAACTGTTAACTACAGTCTACAGCATATGTCCCTTCAGGATGCCAATATGCAGTTAGATGGATTAATTTCAAGGACTAGGAATTGTTGTTCAGTATTATTGCAAAATAATAGTACTATTTAGTACAGGTTATATCCTTTTCTCAGTAGAGACTTGTTGCTTTGTGTTCTTTAATTAAGGAAAAATTCTTCCTGTAATACAGTCTTACTCTAGGCAAGTAGTTATTAGCATAAGTGTATGTAATGTAAATTCCTTGCTACAGCCAAAATTGAGCTGTAATGTTCAGAAGTTTATCGTCTCAAGTATTAATTTAATTCTTTCCCTCCTTTTTGCCTTGCTAATTGGTATTGTTAGTTGTCTAGATAATTGCTGATCTTTGTCATATGATAGACAACCGTTCAATAAAAAGGCTAGAGTTTCCACTAAAATATACATGTGATTTTATGGAGAACTGCTGTTGTGCTTTTGATTATATTAATTAGACTCATGTTTTTCTAATGAGCTAATACCTCACATGGTGCTAAACGTTGGTCTTAAAGAAGAACTTGTTCTTTATCTGATGGGTTAGATTAGATCTCTATTCTTTAACCTTTCTTTTCTCTCTCCCTTCCCCATTTTCAGGTCTTTAAGAGTTCCCATGTATTCAAACAAGGGGCTTGACTGGCTTTTTACCTTATCTTTTGGTGTATTACAGGTATCAGAAGTGAGTTCACTTTTAGGCAGAGCTGGTACAGCTGGGCTTGGCAAGGCAGTAGAAGTTTTGGACACACTAGGTAGTAGTATGACAAATTTGAATCTCAGTAGTGGTTTTACATCAGGCGTGTCAACAAAAGGAAATAAAATTTCAATTTTGGCCTTCGAAGTAGCAAACACAATTGTTAAGGGTGCTAATCTGATGCAATCTCTTTCAAAAGAGAACATCAGACATTTAAAAGAGGTGGTTCTACCATCTGAAGGAGTGAAAAATTTGATATCCAGAGATATGGAGGAACTCCTAAGAATTGCTGCAGCAGACAAGAGGTAGATTATCATGAATATTTCATGATCAACTTAGTAGAATTCAAGTTTCGAGCTTATTTTCTTCAGCTACTACTGCTCCAAAATTTTCACTTTCTTATACTTTTTTGACAGAGAAGAATTGAAAATATTTTCTGGAGAAGTTGTACGTTTTGGAAATCGTTGTAAAGATCCTCAATGGCACAACCTGGATCGCTATTTTGAGAAGTAATTGCAGTTGGATTGATTTAATAACAAATAGCTGAATTGATTTAGTCTTCCTTTATATATTTTCTTGTAACATCTAACATTGTCTTAGTTATGTTTTTTTTTTTATCTTTGTTGATGTTTAGGTTAGGTTCAGAGCTTACACCACAAAAACAATTGAAAGAGGAGGCAGAGATGGTGATGCAACAACTAATGACCTTTGTTCAATATACAGCTGTGAGTACGCCTATAATAGGAACAGTGCATATGCCTGTCATATTCCTCAGATTTGCATGCTGAACTCATAACACTATATCCTCTTTGTTAAAATGTGTATTTGGGTATTATATAATACTAAGGAATGTGTTCATTCAGTTTGCACAGAACTAAGGGGAAATTATGTTCTGAGGTCTGTTTGAGTAAACTTCTTCATTGACACTTTTAGGAGAAGAAAAAATAAAATAAAATTGTCCATAAGCATAAATTAACTTATGCAAGAGTTTAAAAACAGATTTTGGAGAAGCTATTGTATAATAGCTTGTAGAGAAATTTATTTCATTTTTCCTTTGTATTTTCTTTTCTTAGAAGCGCTTATGAAAAAGTTTATTCAAACAAATCTCTGTGAGTTTGAAATTCTTTGATCACCCTCATTACCAGGAACATCACTAAAATAAAACTACAATATTATAAACAAAATAAAACTGTCTCAATTGCTTGGTAATTACATGATATGAATTCAATTCTGTTTTATGTTGCAGACATGTTGTGTAAAGGTAACTTGTTTAAAAGCTTCACTAATTACTGTCATCGGTGATCTTTAATTAGATATAAACTTTATTTCAGAGATTGTTGCTAATTTTCTGTCTTGAATATTTCCACTTTATGGCTGAAACTTTAATATGAGCTATCTTTGCTATTGTACTTTTTGATAATAAAGAATGTCTATAAACAGGTTATACATTTGCACATTGAGTCTGAGAGATAATTAGATGGACCTTTTTCCTGTGCTTTCTGGGTTTTGTAGTCCTAAATTTACAGATTTTGTTTCTCAATGAATTTGCCACTTTTTTTCATCTGTCCTGTTATGCATATTAAGAAACTTACAAACAATTTTTTAAGACTCGTATACAATTTAAGTTAAACTTGATATCCAAGTTTATATTCACTATTATTCCAATTCGCAAATATTCTTGTTTCATTATGAAAAAAAAAAAAAGTTTGATATAAAAAATTAATCATGAGTCAGATATGGACAATTGTGTTATGTAGTGGTTAAGTAGATTGATATAAATACTGCCTGCATTTCTTTTTGTCAGTTATTTAAGGTTCCTTTATAAAAATAAAGACACACAATAATTTGCTAGATCTTACTAAAATAGTCATGAGATTTTATTTTTTATTTTACCCCTTCTTATTTCTACATCACAGTAAAAGCCTATAATTAAAAATTGGGTGAAGAGTATGGGTATAGTTGACACAAGAGTAATTAATTTTGTCTTGAAATTTAAAAATTACAGTTAAATTGAAACAAAAATCTCCCAACAATTCCACACTTAAAAAGAACACAAACTACTATCTTTTATATCAGTAAAAAATGTCTGCATTGTCTCATATAGGTAGCTTAGTTTGGTTTTGGATTAGAAATAAGTTTTTATATACCTCTAGTTACTTAGATGTAGCATTTATCAGCCTTTTATTTTAATTTTCAACTTTGAACTTACATGCATGTGAAACATCATAGTCAATAATAATGGCTCGCAAGCTTCTCGAAGATGATTTTATTATATTTTTTCCATGAGGAAAGAAATTGATAAGACCAAGAGAAAAACTATGAAGGAAGGGTTGGATTCATCAACTAAAGAACAAAAACAGAAAACAATAAAGAAAAGACAAAATGATAATAACTTAGAGAGCACAAAGAGTCCAAAGTTGTTTCTTTTTTAATTGAAAAATGAGGCATGATCCGATTCCAACTCATCTCCTCACTTCTCAAAATAAGAGCAAAAATAAACATCCCTAAGGAAAGTTAATTCGTTTTCTTTGAGCTGATTTTGGTAAGACTTAATCTAGTTAGACCTTTTTTCTGAGTGCAGGAATTATATCATGAATTGCATGCCTTAGATAGATTTGATCAAGATTATCGGCGCAAGCTTCAAGAAGAGGACAACTCAAATGCCACACAAAGAGGTACATGTTGGCCTGATTTACTTATCTATGTGCATTAAATCCTCTCGAAATATGAGGAAAATTTGATATTATTTCTGATAATTGAAAACTGTACAATATATAATAATGTGATCCTAGAATTATGGACTGCAACTGATTAATACAGGTACAAATAAGGAAAACTGTCATAGTTACATATAGTGAGGAAGCAAGTGTAATTAAATCTGAAAAAAATAAATAAAGGAAATAATGAACAATAACATATTAGCTACAACAAATCCAATGTTCTTGTATTGTGTATTTTAAAAGTTATTCAGTTTAGAATCAATCTCTTACTTATGTAGTTTTCACCAAAAATATATGTGGATACATTCTCTAGTGGCATTCTTTGTACGTATTCAGACTACCTAAACCAATTTTCTTCATTTCTTTCTCAACAGGAAACACACCAATATATCCTCATATACAATATTACAATTATTTGTATTGTCCTTTGAGTGGCAACACATTCATAATAATATTCATTTGTGCATCTCTCACCTTTTACTCTTGATATCTCTTTAAAGCCTAACATTCACTACCATATAACAATATGGTAAAGCTTTCTCCAGAGTTTGGTAGTTGTCATAAGCCTGATGCCTTCTCCATCTTAACTACTGAGCTTGTATTTTGTGTACGGGCATCTTCATTCATTTTCCTATCATTTGTAATATTGATACTAGTTACTTACACTTAAAAACTATGATAATTACCTCCAAGTCATATTCCTCTTGTTTCTTGTTAAAATTGCAAAGCATATACACTGCCTTAAATCTACTAAAGTGAAAACCCTTTTCATTCCAATGTGTCTCCAAAGTTCAAGTTTGGAGTTAACATCTTCCCTTGACTGATCTTCACTTAAATATATATTGTTGAAAGTCCTACATCGCCTACCTCATATCATTTTGTATGATTTAAATACATGTTAGGCTACTCCACATATAGCCAATTGGTTTTATGTTGGAACCTTAACATGGTATCAGAGCCGAAGCCTAACATCTTTCCGGTTATTGTCATGGGCCAAAAGTTGCCCTTTAGTTGGGTCAAAAGTACCCTTTGCCTGGTCCGGCAGCCCTCGTTGGAGGGGGCATGTTGAAAGTCCCACATCGCCTACCTCATATCATTTGGTATGGTTTAAATACATGTTAGGCTACTCCACATATTGCCAATTGGTTTTATGTTGGAACCTTAACATATATCATCAGCAAAAACCATGTATTTAGGATTAACTATTTGTATATCCCTGGTAAGTACATCAAATTATAGATTAAACAAGCAAGGACTCAAGACTGAACTCTAATATAAATATATCCTAATAGGAAAGTCCTTAGTCTTGTTTCGAAAGTTTTCACACTAGTAATTACCCTGTCATTCATGGCTTGATCACTCAGATATACCAACCAAAAATCACAAACAGACTATTTTTCCATAATAGTAATAAGGTTAATAAAGAACTCAAGTAAATATGAGCATTAGGTACAAGAACAGGCTCTTCGGTTCAGGGGGATAGACAATTGAAAATCCGTTGAAAAATTATCACGATGTTCTCCTCGTATTGTATATATTTTTTGTCAAAGTAAACAGTAAATTTGGAATGCATGCATGATATAATTAGACTTTTATACAATATGAGTTTTCTGTTTAATATAAGTCCAACATGTCAAGTTCTACCTCTGGAACATTAATCTTTTTCCAGATGCCCAAAAATCTGACCAAGTATTTACAATTTAGGAAAAAATGTTATAGCTATGTTGGTTATTGTTATCACAATGGTTCATATTCTTAAGTGATCAATGATCATAAAATGTGTAGGAGATAGCCTTGCAATCTTAAGAGCAGAACTGAAGAGTCAAAAGAAGCATGTAAGAAATTTGAAGAAAAAATCATTATGGTCCAGGATTTTGGAAGAGGTAAACAGTGTTATTTCTATTGATTATTATGAATGAATGTATGAATGCGATTATTGTGATAGAAGTTGAACTTAAATATAGGAAATTTTATTTGTTTTTAGTTTTGTAGTATTGGTGATTTAGGATCTGAAAAGAGTTTTTTTTTTTTCTAAAATCCTTGAATTATTTTTAATGTATTTTTTTGTTGTTTCATTTAACTACATTCCTTTCCCCTTTTTGCCCCTAATAAAATTTATTTTTTGAATTCTTCTCCTTTTCTTGAACATTTTTTTTATCATACAAATATAAAATTTGATTGTTGTATCTGCAGGTGATGGAAAAACTTGTAGACATCGTCCATTTTCTATACTTGGAAATACATGAAGCATTTGGTAGTTGTGGTATGCTTTCAAGACTTTTAAGGATTTTCAAATAATGATTAACTAAGGGTGTGATATTCTTTACTTTGTGTTTTGTGTACGGATAATGAGTTAGGTAGACATATCGAGTTTTACCAGCCATGTATGTGTCAAATTTGCTGGAGTCTGTTTATAGAAAGAGTATTCGATTTATTGATGAAAGAAAATCTGCTATTTGACCTACAGTCTGGATATATGGTATTCAACAAGGATAATAGGTTCCACTCATTGGTATAGTTATATTTGCAAAGTTTATGTACTTCTGATTGTTTGATATAAGTTGTTTGCATAATTTGCTTCTCATAATTTATTTTTAACTTATCCTATGTTTTTTGTGAACGAATTTTCTGATTTGTTCACCTTGTCCTGACATATTTTGTACTTTAATCCTGCTTAATTTAATTGCTGCTCCTTTCTTTCTACTGACAAAATGTAGATCATCCTCTGCTATTAAGATATCAGGTAAATAAAGTGTGGCTTTTACACTGCTCTTTCTGTTGCAGATACTGATAAGCAAGCGAAAGATTCTCAAGGAAATCATCAGAAGTTGGGATCTACTGGTCTTGCTTTGCATTATGCGAACATTATCACACAAATTGACACTCTTGTGAGTTTATGATTCTACTTAAATTGCATAATCGCTAACATTTGTTGTGGTCTTGGAAGTTCAATTTTCTTTGTCTTTGTTGCTTGTAAAATATTGTTAATAAAGAAAAATTGGAAAAGGAGAAAGAAAAGAAGGAAAGTAAATGCATTTACACAAGTCATTAACAAGCTTAATAGTGCGTTGTTCAAAAAAATAAAAAAAATGACCTCAACTCCTTTTCATGGTAATGTTGGGGATATGGTCATTGGTTGTTTCAATTCTTCTAATATTATTTTCATGAAATGAAACAGATCTCTGGTTTTCTCTTCTCTCTTCTATTCATATTTGTCATGATGGGATGAATAACTGACTGATAGTATTTTTATTGTTAGACTTCTCAGCACTGTGCCAGCTGGAGTTTGTTGTAGACAGTTAGATCATATAAATACTTGAGTATTGTACTCAATCTTTATTAATACACATTTTACACATTATAAAATTCCTCTTTTCTGAATTTTTTAATGACTTTCTGTGATTTGACCTAATCTTTGATTCTGTTCACTTGATTTAAAAATTGTTACCAGAAGGGAGAAATTACCACTCTAATGCTAACAGAAGCTGATTAGTTGGGTACTTTAGGAACATCTGGTCATTTAATAAGTACAAACAGTTAATTAAATGAGTGATATTTTTTATTTCTTTTTATTTGTATTTATTTCTTTTGAATCCTATACCTTAAAGTTGACCAAATATGATTGGCCACTTCTTGTTTCTTTTGGTATATCCTTAGGCACAATGAAGCAAAGCCTGTCCATCAGGAGATGCAATTCTTTTTCATTTCTTGTTTTGGGCGTTACCTACTTCCCTTAAGATGAACGAAAGAAGCCCTTTCTTATATTCCCATGAATAAGATCATTATTTACTTAATTTGTCCGATAATCGAGTGACATCTGACATACAAGTAGAAGAAGTAAAAAATAAAATAAAATAAAATGCTTGAGATTTTCTGGCCAAATTTTAGATTCCGTTTAGTTGCCGTCTTCTTTATCACTTCTTCTATCTTCTGGTCTTTTGTTCATTAAGCTTTCATACATTCTAAAACTTGTTCTGCAGTGACAATGTAATACTGGTGTATCCTTTTATATGGGCTAGCTTAATTTTGTTTTGGGCATAACGATTCTGAGGATATTATTAGGACTGATCAAGATAAAAGAACACAGCATGGAAAAACTACGGCTATCTTTCTAATCTTTGCATATATATATTGCCACTCAATTGGTGCTGTAATTATTTCTTAAAAAATGATAGCAAGATTATTAGGAAGGTAGCCCTGAGTTTAGATTTTAATTTAACCAGGTGTCTCGATCAAGTTCTGTGCCTCCTAATACAAGGGATGCGTTATATCAAGGTCTTCCTCCTAATGTAAAATCAGCATTGCGCTCAAGGTTACAGTCATTTCAGGTTAAAGAAGAGGTGCATATTCCATTTCCATCATACATTTTATTATCTGTGTATCCATGCCACAAATACTTGATTCGTTATTAATGTGTCCATTGAATTTTATATTTAGAAGAATTGAATCTAATTGGGATTTTTATCTCACTTTTCTCCATGTAATATCATTAATAGTATTAAAATTATAGAATGCAGTATTTCTCACATATGTATTCCAGTTAATGAATTAAAAACTATAAATCCGTTCTCCCCCTTTTATACAAGTCATATGGATATTGATTTAAACACTGATTTTTGTGGTATGTCATGTAATGTTTTCCTTCAAACTTACATGCTTGTCTATGCTATTGAGACTGAAGTATTATTGAATTAATATATAGCTTTCTTAATGATATTCTCTTAATATATTCCACATAATTTTCTTAGAAGAATTTTGCCTATACACTTGGCTTTTCCCTTTTAAAATTCAACGCTTACATTATAATTTTCAATGTTCTTGTCTCTACATATTATTTAGAATCCATACTTGACAATAAAGTTTTATTTAAATTCATTAAATGCTTGTTAATGACTTTCCCTGTTCCATCTTTTAATGATTTTTATTGAACATCTTTCTGCCAAGGCTTGTACAATAAAAATGATTGTGACCAAATTTTTAAATCTAAATCTCAAATGAAGGAAACATTCTTGCAGCTTACCGTCCCACAGATCAAAGCTGAAATGGAGAAAATATTGCAGTGGCTTGTTCCTATTGCCGCCAACACGACGAAGTATATTCGCTAACCCCTACTCAGCAATTCCTAGGTGTCCTAGTATTGCATTTGGTACAACAGATCTGTTTAAATTTGTTTTTCATTATGATCATTAAACAAACTTGTTCATCATTTTATTCTTGAAGAGCAATTCAGGTTGCTCTTTCTAAAGACACCATTTCACATTTAGAGTCACTTTAACTATGTTACTATTAGGCATTAGCTTTCATAAATTATCTTCTGCTATTCAATTACCATTAACCTCTACATGTCCTGCTCTCAAATTTAACTATCTCTTTTTCACTTGGATTAATTCAGAGCTCATCATGGCTTTGGATGGGTTGGAGAATGGGCAAATACTGGGTGAGGGCAGATAGCTAAATTCTATTCCTTTATGTTTGTATCTTCTACCAATTTCTTCTAATGTCAGTTTGTATAGGTCTGAGGTCAACCGCAAACCTGCCAGCCAGACCGATTTGTTGAGAATTGAAACACTACACCATGCTGATAAAGACAAAACAGAAGCATATATACTTGAACTTGTTATCTGGCTTCATCATCTTGTCAGCCAAGTAAGAGTTGGTAATGGTGGAATAAGGTCCCCAGTGAAATCACCAATCCGTTCTCCAACCCAAAAAATAGGGCAGTTATTTACACAGAAAGCCTGCTCTTCCCCAATGCTAACAATTGAAGATCAACAAATGCTTCGTGATGTCGGCAAGAGAAAGCTAACGCCAGGCATTAGTAAGAGCCAAGAATTTGACACTGCCAAGACCAGGATGAGTAAACACCATAGGCTAAGCAAGAGTAGTAGTCATTCCCCAATCAGTGAAAGCAAAAATGATATATTCTCTACAAGGAGGCTACCTTCTGTTCCTGTCATTGACTTTAATGACCGAATGAAGGCCTTGGATGTCATTGATAGGGTGGATAACATTGGAAATTCATAGTTGTGTGGCATGTCTTGGCCTTTAAGCCAAGGGGGAATGCTTGAATTAAATGAGTCTGTTGCCTTCTTCAAGTTAAGTGCTCCCCTTTGTTCTTTGTAGCCATGAGAAATGTTTGTTGATTTCCTAAGGAAGAGTGATGCGATGTGAGTCATAGTCTTTTTTTTGAGATTGTTGTAGGTGATTATGGGGCGGGGACAAAGGGGGTCACCGTTTTCATTAGATGTATATGTACAGATTACATGATCATATAATAATTGTTCTTTTTCTCTTCTCTCAATCTTGTGCATGTACGTATACATACATGAAACAATTCACAGAATAAACTGACCTAAGAACACAAAGAAGGCAATGGGTTATGACATTGTTGTGTAAAGGGCACATTCTTAGTACCTTATACTTTCTCCTTAAGTTTTATGAAACTAGCTATCCTTAAGTATATTGTAGAGTATTTCAAATTGAAAAATCCAAAAAAAATTGGATGAATATACTAAAAAATATATAATTTTTTAAGTTGCAGATTATGTTCTGATTATTGATCCTTTTTGTAGAGTTTTTCTCCTTATTTTCCTTGTGCAATTCGGAGTGTAAAATCTTATTAGAGAAATGGTCTTCAAGTTTGGTTTATCTATTTAAATGAGTCAATAGAACACTTAATGTGTTTGGTAATGTAAAACACACTGTTAATAGAACACCATTCTGAATATGAATATGCAATCTGTGACTTATATTTAAATGCCTCAAGATTGTATTTCTAATATTTTGTTGTGTTATGTTTGACTAATTTAATATTAAGATGAAATCTGGGGAAGCTACCTGCAAAGAAATAAAATGAGCAATAATGCATGGAATAAAACAAGTTCAGGCACAACAATGCTTGATTCTTCTCTATCAATTCCCGTCATGCTTGCGACGTGGGAGAGATTCCTCTGTTGTGTTCTGCATGTAAAAAATCCTCACTATATATTCCACATAATTCATTTCAGATGCTACCATTTCATCTCAGCCATAGTATATGCATGCATAGTATATTTCTCAACACTTCCTAATGGACTTTTGAGAAAAAAAAAAAAACTGCTTATCTTATTACATAATAAAAGACGAAGAGCTTTGCAATTAAATATACATGACTAATTACTTAATTTTCCAAACGATTAATTTAATTGGATTTGCAAAGTAATAATTTATCTGATAAATTTGTGTTGGTTTCATGAGAATGTATTATAAATAAAATTATAAATTTAAGTTAATTTTATCTTATGTAAGATCAATCAACAATTTTATTTCATTTTAAATAAATATAAAAATAATTTTAAATATATATACTTTTAAATATAAATCACATTAATAAAATTAATTATTAAGTATAATAATTTGATATGTGAAAAAATACATATATAAGCAAAATAATCTTATCTAACTTATGTTAAATTTTTTAATTTCACTTATATTTTGAATTACTCTATAGTATCAAAATCTATAATTTAATCCTTACATAGGTTTTGAGACTTAATCTATTTTTATTTTTTTATTTATATTTAAGTTGGTCTTATTATTAATAAAAAGATTTAATCAGATTCTTTAGAATAGTTAATAGTAAAATTGATAATATTAGAATTAATGGAATTTTTATTCTAATTAATAGTAAAATTGTTAATAAATAAATATTGACAATTTTAATCTACACATGATACATTATATAATTAACTTTATAGATGCATAATAAATCTTGAAATAGTTAATAAATAAATATTGACAATCTTAATCTACACATAATACATTATATAATTAACTTTATAGATGCATAATAAATCTTGAAATAGTTATATTGTTACATTTTAAAATTGATGAATTTTATTGAAAAGGATCAAATTAAATAAAAATAAATTAATAATATCTATAAAAAGTAATTAAATCTTACAAAAATGGTCTCTTATAACTTATTCTAGTAAGAAGTGTATTATTGAAAACATGGTATTGTGTTATTATAGTTAAGAATAAAAATATTAAAAAAAAGTGAATTTAAATAAATTTTTTTAAATGAACTTTTGGATAAGAAGTGGAATAGGCATTGAACAAAAGTTAGATATATCCTCCCATACAACACAATAATAAAAATATAAGTAAAAATTATTTAATATGATAAAAAATACAAAATAATTTAACAACTATAAAAAAACAATTTTAGAGATGCTTAATATTATAATAAAATAATTTAATTATAAATAATTAATATATAATTATAATTATATGTACTGTTTTGTTTAACCCACCAAATCAAATATTTAAAATATATGATATCGGTTAAAAACTTTCTTTAATAAAAACAACCTAGGTTATTTCAAAATTATATCGGTTAAAAATTTGTTTAAGAAAACTTTTGTTAAAATACTTTGTTTTTAAGCTGCTTAAACGTATTTAGAGGCATTTTGCAAAATCTTTTAAGTGAAGAAACCTCATGCAGTAGAAAAAATAAAAATGTAAGCATAACTCGAAGACACACTAATTCCTCTATTCTTTTATCAAAGTGATCGTTAACCGCTACAAAGTTGACTTTGACTTTATTTTTGACTTCATCAAATCAATAAGATCTTTGTCAGAGTGTTTAAATAAGATCTTCATCACTTTCATACAATAATTAATATTCTTAAGTAATTTATATTTTTATTTATAATTTTTTAATATATATTTGAGAAATTAATCAATTATAATCTATTATTTGAAAAACTAATCAATTCTAATCAATTATTTAGAAAACTAATCGATTATAATTAATTATTTGAAAAAATTATCCAATATGATCGGTTATTTAAAAATTTAATCGATTATAATGGTTGTATATGATAGCGGTTCCATCTGAACTCGCTCTTAAAACAGAACATCTAATAGCGGTTAAACCTTAACCGCTATCTAAAATATAGTTTAGATAGCGATTAACGTGGAACCGCTATTATATAGTTTCAAATATAAATTTAAATATATTTTTAATTTATTTAAATATGCTTTATTTTTAGTATTTATAAAATAGATTAGTCTTAAATTTTTAACTTTTCTAGCAGTCTATTTTTAATCTTTGTTATTAATTATGTTAAAAATGAAAAAATATTAATTAGTATACTTAAACTAATGTATATTGATTATCTAATGTATATTGATATAATTTTTTTGTATATCAATTATATGAAAATAACCATGGTTAAGTAATTAATAATAATAAAGCAATAAATTTTAAGATTAGATTAAAAATAAAGTTTTATAAAATAAAATTGTAATAATTTGATTAAAATTTTATTTTCTTAATTAATTAAGTTAATGAGGAATTAAAATGTGATCATTTGATGATTTTAATTTTTTTAATATAAATTTTTAAAATATAATTTAATTTCAATTGAAATTTTTAATTGAAAAATAAATTAAAGAATATTTATTATTAAACTTTTCTTAAACAATGTATTGAATAATTAATATTACTCTAGTCTTAATTTATTACAATTTAAATTTTTAATAAATTTGATTTATTTTTAATAATATTTTTATTTTAGTAATTTAAAATTAAAGTTAATCTTCATTTTGTTAATATTGAGACCAAAGTTTATTTTTAAAGAATCTTTTAAAAATTAAATTATTTTTAGAAAATAAATTACTTTTAAAAAATAAATTGTCAAAAATATACTAAAACAATTAAAGTATATTTATAAAAAAATAAATTTAAATATCATAAAAAAATAATGTTCGTTAAATTCGATTAGCTATTTTCTCATTAGCGACCGATTATAATTCGGTCACTATTTCAATTTGTAATTTGGTCGCTAAATCAATCGTTAAATGATTTTTTTATTTTAGTGTGGAATAGCCACCGATTTAGCGACCGAAATTTTGCGACGCAAAATATTGGTCGCTATTTCGGTCGCTAAATAACAAGATGAAAACCAATTCATATTTTGGTCGCTAAATCGATTACTAATTGCGACTGAATTAAAGTGGTCGCTGAATCAGTCGCTAATTGCGATCGAATTAAAGTGATCGCTAAATCGGTTGCTAATTGCGACCAAAATTAAATCGGTCGCTAATTGCGATCGAAAAAATTCGTTCGCTAATTTTGGTGGCTAAATGTGATTTTTATTGTAGTGTATAAAATCAGTTATATATGCATGAATTTTAAATATAGGGTTTATTCTCGAATATTAGTTTTGACTTAACCTGATTCTTTTATGAAGTATTATATATATTATTGGTCTCTGAATTTTGAATCATAGCCTCGCATCTAGCTTCAGAAAATAGATTGTTTCTATTGTTAGTTTTAGTATATTTTTTTCTTAATACTCTCGTGACCATTTTGTAAGGTTATAGTTAAACACTAAAGATCCCATGTTGAATCATGTGAACTTATTGATTCTGTTAAAATTTTTATTTTGGTTTGAACTGGTGTTTAACCTTTCTAATCATTTACTTTATTTTTATCTCTTTTTACTGTCATATCTTACTGCATTATCACTTTTCCCTCTCATGTTTCTTTCTCTCCTCCAGAAAACCAGAAAATAACATTCAATTCAGTGATCTAATCATAACCTAAATAATAGAAATATATCCGATATACATTAGCAGTATATCAACAAACTGCTGGTACCGGTAGAGTAGCGGTGGCCGAAACCTCTCTTCCCATGGAAGGTTGGAGATAGGAACAGCACCTAAAGCTAAGGTTAAGGCAGATGAGATAATTGATGCACAGTACCCCAAGTCATCCTTCAAAAATACCTCACTTACCTATTAAGATATCAATAATCAACCCTTCATATAGAAGCCACATATATAAGCAACAGTGCGCTGTGACCACTACTGAGTGAGAGAACCTGATACCAAACAAAAAAACGAAACCCCACATACCCATTCTCTCGCTTCTCACATGAAGACCCTACGTAGAAATGTTCTGTCACAATACCAGATATGCTACGATTTGATCTCAACGATAGATATGCAGTATATACAAGTATTGTACAAAAATT